AGACCCCTGGGTTCAACCTGCTTGACTGGGCTAGGGGTTCCTCCTTAATGCTCTCAGAGAAACCTGTGCAAAATGTTATCATTGTGCTGCAAACACTGCATGGAAATTACCTAGGCACGAGACTGAGATTTTTTGGTTTATGACAGCAAGAATGGTTTCTTACTCATTGAGCTTTGGCTTCTCAGAGCACAGTGCCTGCCACACCATTGACACTCAATAAACTGAACCTGCATGGACCCAACTGATTAGGTCAAAATCCTAGGACTCATTCTTAATGACTTTCCCTCACTCACTTCATTACATTCACTAGTAAACCATTCATTTCCACCTGCCAAAAGACTACCATTTTCAGTGAGATTGCTCTAATCAAGACCAGCAACATAACACATCTAGAGCAAATTGCCTGCTTCTGGTTATCTCCCTGGAATGGGAGATTTGGAAGAGAGGTAGTGAGCGCTTTCAGGAGCCTGAGGCAGATGATAAGGTTATTTCCAGGTCTGTGAAGAACAACACACATTAACAGAGGTGCAGTTGGCCACCATCTCTAAGAAGAGCACCATTGTTTCTGACTATACCATTCAAGATATCTGGTTGCTATGCAATGCACACCCAGTCCTTGTTTTCTAAGAAGGAGATTAGCTTTTTACTAAGGTATTGACCTATCGTTTCCCTTATTCTACTTATTGTTCAGGTTCACCCTCAATTTACAAATCCAGGCTCATTCTGAGTTGACTTCATTGGCCATGATTAGACCAAGAAGAATGGGTTCAAAACCCATGAATGGCACAGAGAAAAGCTGTTGGGTGTCAGTCTGTTTCAGAAGCCAATGCTAGATGTGACGTTATTTTAGTCATAAAGAGTTCTCCTCGAATCAAAGACAATCTCCCTCCCCAATCCACCTACCTACCTCTCCAACCCACACTTGTGCCACTCAGTTGCCTCCCCCATTTGGAATAGCTCAGACAATAAAGGTACTTGAAGAATATAATGACTCATTGCTGAATAAGAAATCTTTCCTTATTGATTGATCTTAGGCTTATGTCCAATTTGGACTTCCGTTTGGCACTCTTTCCTCAGCATTGCTTCTGAATTGTCCTTTCAGAGCTCAGCTTAAATTTTACTTTGTACAAGAAGTCATTTTTAATTTGCCAGGCAGAGGTGAAGTCCGATCGCTATAACCCTCCCCCAGTGTGGCTAAGCATCCACTGTGAGTGTACAATTATTGAATCTCTATACTTATGTTGGGATCTCAGTTCTGTCACTTATGGTACTTGGCATGCCCTTGAAAATGGGGGTGATCAAACTCACCTTGCAGGATCATGTGGATACAGTCTGAAAGCAAGGTGGAAATGCTGAAGATGGCTCAACAAATGGCAGATTTCTTGTCCAGCCCGACAAGAATTTGCCTAGTTTCTGAATGATTTGGGCTATCCCCTAAGTTTCTTGAAAGTAAGAGCACCCTTTCCTGTGCTCTGTACTCCTAATGAATGCAATGTCATTTACCCATAGGAGAATCTGGGAGGTGAAGTTTAGAAAGCTGGCAGGTCAAGGAATAGTTTGAAAAAGATCTATGCAATCAGCGCATAGATGAGAAGAGAGCATCCTAGGGAAGTGGAGACAAAAAGGGTGGTGGTGGTGGTGGTGAAGACCTTTTTCTAAACTTCCCCTTCCCATGTTTAAACATTTATCCTATCAGAGACATGGGACAGAAGGTCTCATCCTGACAGTGTGGTGTCTGCTCAAGACTATCTGCCAATGTCCCTGGTACTGGTTCACGCCAGCTGGGAGAGGTACTTAGCTTCTCAGTGTTTCATTATTGTGGTTTGCTGGGCTGGACAGCTGGTGGCTAATAATGATTAAAAAAACAACAACATAATAATACTTCAAACTCAGGTACTGCCCTTTGCCAGCACTTGGATTTAATTACAACAACTAGGGCGGAACTGGCAGCATCTTTCTCCCTGTTGGGTGCAATACCCAAGGGCTTGGACACACCAAGGGAAGTGGCCACTGCAACCTTTTCCTGTAGGGCCTGTCCCGGCGGTTCACCTAGAGCTCTGGATTTGAAGCTCACCATCAGAAACAAAGGGCACGTTGAAATCGTGCCTGGCACTGTCAAGTATACAGAGGTATATAGAAAGAATGGCGGTCATGACACTTGCCTTGAGCACCACTTCAAGGGGGCACCAATGAGCAACTTCTATGAGCCGTCCCAGTTTTCCTTGCCAGCTGTGAGAGATCATTCAGCAATTTCAGACTAATGCCATAGACGCTGTCTTCCGGAAACACTCTGTTACAAGCAAAGGCATATTTATGAAGCAGCTACTTTCACACAAGGGGCATGGTATCATGGAATCCCAAGCCTGTAAGGGACCAAAGAGGTGATCTCGTTCATAACTCTGACTCCTGCCTTGGGGCATCACTGCCACTACCCTCAAAGAGGGGAGAGGTCACTGAGTTTCCCATTTGAATTTGGATGCCTTTGTGGGAGCCTGTTTTAAGTGTCAGGCGATTCACAAGTTTATTTAACAATCACGTCCTTAGCACCGACTGTGTGCCAAGGAATAGGGTTGGGGGCCATGTATAAGATAGGAAGCTCTGCCATCGAAGTAGTTTACAGTAGAGGTGGGGGATTTGTCTTCGGGAAGCTGTTATATAGAAGGGGTTTCCAAGGCTATAAGCTTCACAGAGCAGGCTGCATCATCTTTCCCTCATGGGTTTGAATTGCCAATTTCTTGATTAGCAGTTGTGTGCTGTAACCACCGTGCCAGCAAGGCTCCTTTAAATGAGGATGGAGGTGGCATCCTGGTTACGTGTTGGATGGCTAACCACGAGCGGCTCCTCAGGAAAAAGACGAGGCTTTCTACTCCTGTAAAGGGTTACAGTCTCAGAAACTCACAGGGGCAGTTCCACCCCGCTCTATAGGTCACTGTGAGTCAGAATTGGCTCACTGGCAAGTGAGTTTGAGTTTGAGAAGAAGGTCCAGGTAGATGAAAGGAACCATCCAGGGGAAGTGATGCCAGAACAAGAAGGATGAGGAGAGAGAAATGGGGGTAAAGAGCCAGGCACATTGGGGAGGTTATTAAAGGTTTCTCTCTTTCATTGTCTTCACTGCTCCCCCTGGATTGCCTTGTTTATTTACATGTCTACTGTTTATGCTTCAACCCATTCACCCTTATACCCTGAGGCAGACCCTCCATGAAGGGACAGTGGCTGCAAGGCTGGGCTCCAACATAACAATTGTGAGGGCTGCTAAGGACAAGGCAGTGCTTTGTTCTGTTGCCCATAGGGCCAGTAAGGGTATGAATCCACCTGATGGCACCTAACAACATACCTTGAACAAGGAGACTGGTGCGTGGTGAGTTAAGAGTTGGGCTACTAACCACAAGGTTAGTAGTTTGCATCTGTGGGAGAAAGAGGAGGCTGCCTGCCCCCATACTTAGAGCCTCAGAAGTCCACACAGAGTCGCTTCGAGTAAGAATGCACTTGATGGCAGTGAGAGGATACTGGGAAGGAGCCCTGGCGGCACTGTGGTTAAGCAGCTAACTGGCTCGATCAGATCAGCAGTTCTAATCCACCCGCTGCTGTGAAAGTCACTTTGTGGGAGAAGATGTGACAGTCTGCTTGTGTAAAGATTAACCCATTGCCACTGAGCTGATTCCCACTTACAGGGGCGGTGCAGGGCGGAGTAGAACCACACCATTTCCAAAGCTCCCGGAAGCAGACTGCTAGGTCTTTCTTTGGAGCAGCTAGTAGGTTTGGACTACTGACCTTACAGTCAACCACTGTGCTACCTGGGTTCGTTTCAGTAAAGATGACAGCCTTGGAAACCCTAAGGAGCAGATGGACTGTGTCCTACAGGTAGGGTCACAGTGACTACAGCAATCAGTTGTTTTGGTTTTCTTTTTGAGAGTCTGTGAATTCTGATTTGGATCTGTCCTGAGGTTCAAGGGTGATGTCATGTCCAACAAGCACTTACATAAGCAGATACGGACCTCATTAAATGTGCACTCAGCAGTTAAAGCTAATGGGGAACTCACCTAGTGTGCAGAACCACAATGTGCTTATTGAGGAAAAAGGCTGAGGGTCAGACTCTGGGAAACCTCAAATGGAAGGGTCAACAAAAAGCAGATTGGGGAAAGTTACCTAAAGAGCCAGTCTGGGTTTCGTGTCAGGGGAACTGGGTGGGGGCTGGGATGGGGAGAAAACGCTTCAAGGACATCACGCTCCGAATCTGCTGCAGCTCTACTGCAGCAGAGACCAAGTTAGGGTCTAAAACGTGACACTTGGTCATAGGGTGGTCACTGGTAGCCTGCTTAAAGGAGAGCACATTTAGCGGACAATTGGGGGAGGGAGACGGGCTATAGATGATAAATTGAAGTAAGGCTGAGACGGGATCTCAGACAAGTTTTTTGTTTTCTCTTTTGGGGGTACGTTTAGATGCATCCAAACACTATATAATCAAACACGAAGCTGGTAAATTTGTGAATGACAAAAGGTTTCTAAAAGGCGCCACAATCCCGCAGTTCGGCTTCTGTCCTCTTTCTGCCATTTCTAGGAGGGCTCGTCCGTATAAAGTGCAGGCAAAAAGAGGGACACAGAACCCTCCTCTAGCCGAATGGTATTTTTATGACAGCTGGGAGCGGGCCCGGGAATGCAGGACTCAAATGAGGGGCTGCCCTTGGCTCTTGGAATTTGGCAACGGGGTGGCTTCAAGCTAAGGGAGCAAGGGAAACTCATTCACATTTTCCTACCCCGCACGCCCGCCCTCCATTCAGCATCTCTCTCTCCTTTTCCATGACAGGAGTTGAAACAAGGACAAAGCTTTCACTCTTCTCCCACCTCAGGTTGACCACCCACCCGCAAGCCCACCGAGGGCCCTTCCCCGGCCACGTGACCGCCCCCAGTCCTCGTGACTCGCCGCCGTTGAACCCTCCCCTCGGCCCCACCGACCGCTTTCCCCTCCGCCTCCCAAGCCCACGTGACCGCTTCTCTCTCACCTGACTGGCTCCTCCCTTTCCCCGGCCGGACCCGGCCGCCGTCGCCGCTGCCCGACTCCAAAATGGCAGCCGCGAACCGCGCGCACCCGAGCGGCTGGACCTCCCGGACTCCCGGGCCGGCCGCCTCTCGCTCCCCGCGCCCCTCCTTCGGCCTTCACCTACACGCCTCCGGATTGGCCACTAGGAATCCCGCCCCTCCAGATCCCCTCCTGCTATTGGTCACGGTAGGCTGCCCTTCAGAGAGGCGTGGCCCCGCCCGCCCCCCGCCCCGGGAGGTATTTTCCATTCCGGTGGGGGTTGGGGGGAGGGGGGAGGGGAAAAGTGTGAAGAAGGGGAGGCGGTCGGGGAAGGGGGTGGGGGCCTGGCGGGGGCATCCGGCGGAGCTGGGGTCCCCGGGCTCCGTCTGGAGGGAGCGAGACCGCTCGCTCGGGCAGTTGGAGGGACCGGACGGGGCCGGCGGGCAGGCCCGCGGAC